CTTTCTGATTTCATTTTTTAAATATTTTATTCAATTTCTTAAACAGAATCCTGCTTTTATGATAGTTTTTTGAACATTTATTTAATTTTTCTATATTCTAATTTTTCTTTTGCACTTTGTCAAAATGGTTTTTTTTTTGTGTAAAGCATTTATTTGTCTTGTTGCTGAAATGTTTTATATAAAGCTGCCATGCCTCAGATCAGCAGCATAATAATTAATATACAGTGGAGTGATGATGAAATGTTCCGAATTATTTATAGACCATATTTTTTAAGCAACTTCTCCTTAACTTATGATAATGTTAACATTACTTTACACTACTACTGAAGACTGGAGCCAGGTGGAGAACAAACCTTCAGATGGTTGAAGTACAGGTGTAGACGTCTTCATGACCTGCAGAACATCAGGACTAACTCTGGAGCTTTCTGATACATGTGTGCGTTAAGGTGTCAGAAATACAGTTGTTTAGGGGTTTGATGGTGGGCAACATGAGTCCCCCTGCTGGCCGGGTCAGAGCACTGCTGTTATGTGTTTTTGAACTTGCATTATTTTTTCCATTATGCAGTCGGTTTTATGAATGCATCAGTTTTCCTTTTTGGTTGTTCATCATAAATCCACTATCTACTTTATTGTTGTACTACATGACATGAATGACAAACTTAAAAGCCTCCAAATGCTTTTCCCTTCAGCAAATTGTTGTGTTTATAGAGTTCATCTGGTCCCAAATGAGGCAGTGGTCATGTCCCCCTAGTGGTCTGGCTTAGTTACTGTTTGCAATCGATCTTTTTGGTGTTCCATGCATAATGTCTGTTATTTTGACAGGTAAGAGAATTGCACTTGTAAAATTGATTCGTACTTGTAAATTTGATTTGTACTTGTAATGTGGCAAAGTTGTAACTTTTAAACTTGTATTTGTAACTTAAAAATTGTATTCTCACATAAGAATTGCACTTGTAAATTTGATTCGTACTTGTAATGTAGCAAAGTTGTAACAAATTTATGTACGTTTATAGACTTACATGTACAAATTTAGACTCTTACACATACAAAATTTCTGACAGTTGTCTTACCCCATACCACTGGTTCATGAGATATTTTACCAATAACACAAACAAATGCACACAAAGACAGAAGCCAAAACATTATCAACGTTTTGCTTTTTGGTGGTGGGTGATGGAAAATCAACTTGTATTCCTGTTGGAAGGAAACAAAAGAACCAGAACGCTGCTACTTTCTGTGTGGGAGAGCAAAACACACATTTCAAGGTGTAAAAAAATGATTGGTGGTGATAACAAACTACACAAAAGAGGGCATGCATGCTTAACGATTTGCAGTGCAGCACATGTTGCCAATTAAGATGTGGTTTACCAGCTAATTTAGCAAGGCCGCTTTACAAAATGAAGTCTAAAAAAAGCTGATTGTAATCAACTAAAGATGTGTCAGAAATGTGCAGCGTTAGAACTTCTACAGCCCGTAACTCCTTTTAACCTACACCCTGCCCGACCGCGGACAAATGTACGCAACACTGTTCAGACCGCAGCTTTCAGCATCTACACAAATAAAATCAGGGAGTTCTGCTGGCTGTTTTTTTCCCCCCCACACTGCATCCAGTTCCTTGATACAGTAGGCTGCAAAAATACGTACCAGAGATGGTGCTGTGGGGATAGTCTAGTGGTTGAGATGGACTGCAGCTTGCTGTCTGATTTGTGGGACATCTCCCGGACAATTCCTGAGGACATGAAGGCAAAATTAAAAATAGAAAAATCTGCAAAATTGTCACAAAAACCAACGTCAAAGTAAAGCCTCTCAGTCATTTGTGCAAAGAGCTGCCAAAATGGAAAAGCTGTGTGTGAAAAACGGACCACCATTGATGCTTACATTGGGTTAAACAGGGAAAGCATCAACCAGGAGTTGCTAATCAATTGTATTGATTACCTGAGCCTCATCAAAGTAAACTACTCTTAAAAAACAGATATTTTTGCTGCTCTGGAGCACACGTTGCAGGTTTGTTTTGTAAACTTTTTGGATTAATCTTAAAGAAGCAACTGTTGATGCTTATTTGTCTAGAAGGGCCAACCCCCATTTCCACAGTTTGGAATCCATTGTTCTACAAAAAGAAAGATGATTCACAAGTGGAAAACATTTATGACATCTCCTGATATTCCCATGAGTCAATGTCCCAGAAATTTTACTGCCAGGTAAGACTGGGCGATGCTCTGAGAGATAAGCTCCATCTTTACTAGAGTTGGGAAAAATCTACCTTATGTGATTAAACTTCAGAAAAAACAGTCACAAATTAATATTTGGCACTTTGCAAATACTGTGATTAGTGCCCTGCGATGATGTATTTTTGTGTGCATCGCACTTTCATTATCAAGCACTCGTATGCCCCCAAAACATAACAACAATGCCAAACGCTGCAGCAAACTCCAACACTACCATAAACAGGAATACGAAGAAACCCAGAAAATGTGGATGGAGGCAATGTAGACTCCAACAAACTCTACTTCAGTGAACAGTGGAAACAAATATACTCAGCCGAGAATCCACGATGCACCCAATCAATTTGACCCTCTGGAGCAGCAAAATAAGCACTGGAAGGAGATAACGCGGGCCATGGCATATTGCGATACTAAAAAGTACTGTCACTCCACTTTGTGGAAAAGGTGGGTTTTGGGATTGTGGGTCCGTTATTATGGGCCATTTAGTTCCTATACAAAAGGGAGGTGACTGAGGAATGTGTGTAAGAGTTCACATTGCCGGCAGTGGTGTTGGTCGGCAAGGATGTTGGCAATGATGATGGTCGGCAATGATGTAGGCAGTGGTGTCGATCAGCAGTGGTGCTGGCAGTGGTGTTGGTCAGCAATGATGTTCGCAGTGGTGTTGGCCGGCAGCGGTGTTGGCAGTGGTGTTGGCTGGCAGTGGTGTTGGTCGGCAGTGGTGTTGGTCGGCAGTGGCATTGGTTGGCCGTGGTGTTGGCAGTGGTGTTGGTCAGCAGTGGTGTTGGTCAGCAGCTGTGTTGGCCTGCAGCGGTGTTGGTCAGCAGTGGTGTTGGTCAGCAGCTGTGTTGGCCTGCAGCGGTGTTGGTCAGCAGTGGTGTTGGTCAGCAGTGGTGTTGGTCTGCAGCTGTGTTGGCCTGCAACGGTGTTGGCCAGCAGTGGTGTTGGTCTGCAGCGGTGTTGGCCTGCAGCGGTGTTGGTCAGCAGTGGTGTTGGCAGTGGTGTTGGCCAGCAGTGGTGTTGGTCAGCAGTGGTGTTGGTCAGCAGCAGTGTTGGTCAGCAGTGGTGTTGGTCAGCAGTGGTGTTGGCAGTGGTGTTGGCCTGCAGCGGTGTTGGTCAGTAGTGGTGTTGGTCAGCAGTGGTGTTGGCCTGCAGCTGTGTTGGCCTGCAGCAGCGTTGGCCTGCATCGGTATTGATCAGCAGTGGTGTTGGCCAGCAGTGGTGTTGGTCAGCAGTGGTGTTGGCAGTTGTGTTGGCCTGCAGCTGTGTTGGCCTGCAGCGGTGTTGGTCAGCAGTGGTGTTGGCCAGCAGTGGTGTTGCCCTGCAGTGGTGTTGGTCAGCAGGGTGTTGGTCAGCAATGGTGTTGGTCAGCAATGGTGTTGGTCAGCAGTGGTGTTGGCCTGCAGTGATGTTGGTCAGCAGTGGTGTTGGTCTGCAGTGGTGTTGGCCTGCAGTCGTGTTGGTCAGCAGTGGTGTTGGTCGGCAGTGGTGTTGGCCGGCAGTGGTGTTGGCAGTGGTGTTGGTCAGCAGCTGTGTTGGCCTGCAGCGGTGTTGGTCAGTAGCTGTGTTGGTCTGCAGCTGTGTTGGCCTGCAGCTGTGTTGGCCTGCAACGGTGTTGGCCAGCAGTGGTGTTGGTCAGCAGTGGTGTTGGCCTGCAGCGGTGTTGGCCAGCAGTGGTGTTGGTCAGCAGTGGTGTTGGCCTGCAGCAGTGTTGGTCAGCAATGGTGTTGGCAGTGGTGTTGGCCTGCAGCTGTGTTGGCCTGCAGTGGTGTTGGGTCAGTAGTGGTGTTGGTCAGCAGTGGTGTTGGCCTGCAGCTGTGTTGGCCTGCAGCGGTGTTGGCCTGCAACAGTGTTGATCAGCAGTGGTGTTGGCCAGCAGTGGTGTTGGTTAGCAGTGGTGTTGGTCAACAGTGGTGTTGGTCAGCACTGGTGTTGGCCTGCAGCTGTGTTGGCCTGCAGCGGTGTTGGCCTGCAGCAGTGTTGGCCTGCAACGGTGTTGGTCAGCAGTGGTGTTGGCCAGCAGTGGTGTTGGCAGTGGTGTTGCCCTGCAGTGGTGTTGGTCAGCAGGGTGTTGGTCAGCAGTGGTGTTGGCCTGCAGTGATGTTGGTCAGCAGTGGTGTTGGCCTGCAGTGGTGTTGGCCTGCAGTCGTGTTGGCAGTGGTGTTGGTCAGCAGTGGTGTTGGTCGGCAGTGGTGTTGGCCGGCAGTCGTGTTGGCAGTGGTGTTGGTCAGCAGTGGTGTTGGTCGGCAGTGGTGTTGGTCGGCAGTGGTGTTGGTCGGCAGTGGTGTTGGCCGGCAGTGGTGTTGGTCGGCAGTGGTGTTGGTCAGCAGTTGTGTTGGCCGGCAGTGATGTTGAGCAGCAGTGGTGTTGGCCAGCAGTGGTGTTGAGCAGCAGTGGTGTTGGCTGGCAGTGGTGTTGAGCAGCAGTGGTGTTGGTCAACATTGGTGCTGGTCAGCAGTGGTGTTGGTCGGCAGTGGTGTTGGTCGGCAGTGGCGCTGGCCTGCAGTGGTGTTGGTCAGCAGTGGTGTTGGTCGGCAGTGGTGCTGGTCGGCAGTGGTGTTGGTCGGCAGTGGTGTTGGTCGGCAGTGGTGTTGGTCAGTAGTGGTGCTGGCCTGCAGTGGTGTTGGCCGGCAGTAGTGTTGGTCCAAAGTCCAATTCCCACTGATTTCGTAGATTTAGAAACACAATTAGGAGGTCTTTACTCTCTCTTCAGCTAAAAGGGACTTAATTGCATTCCCATCCCTGCCTGCCCAGAGGCTAATACTACTGAAATAAAAATTTACTGCTCCACTGACAGTTTTGAATTAGAAAGGTCCTTTAATTTCTTAAATTAAAAATACATAAAAAATTCCCTTCTCACCCTCCGCGGGTGGTGTCTTTCATCCTCTGAGCTCGGGTCCTCTACCAGAGGCCTGGGAGCTTGAGGGTTCTGCGCAGTATCTTAGCTGTGCCTAGAACTGCAC